GTCTCAAACCACTTGCATTGTAGGTTAATGGATTAACAACCATCAGAAAACTACTACTTCCCTGGCTAATAACACGAAGGGCCTTGGATTTTATCCGACAGGTGCTCGAACTAGGCTGCAGCGAACGACAAACAACATATTCGTCATCGCGCCATCTGCCCATAAACGAGGTAAACAACCGCATATCCGAATCGCACAATTTCTCGTATAAGAAAAGGGGATATACTTGAAAACTGGCTGCAAATCAGATTATCTAAAAGAACAGGCCAGTCTCAAGCAACTTGCAGTGTAGGTTATTGGACTAACAACCATCAGAAAACAACTACTCCCCTGGCCTCTCGTCAGTGCAAGATAGTGTCCATTTGCAGGAATTACTTTTGTGAATGATCCAACGCCGTTTGTGGTATTAGCCAGGGGAGAAGTTGTTTTCTGACAGGTGTTAATTCATTACCCTACAGTTAAGGTGAGTTGAGACTGGCCTGAACGATTTTTTCTTGTAAATAAGTTAATTTACAGCCAGTCTTCAAGTATGCCCCCTTACTATATGTGAAATACCCGTTTTTCTTGATTATCGCTTATGCAAAATATTTTGCGAATACAATTTTGAAAACCATTGAAAACCAAAAAACCCACCAAAAATGTTTTTGTCGTCAGAAGGGTTGTATTTTCCCATGGTATAGATGTTGTGCAAAGTATCAATTCTTGTGTGCACTTTCGATTACATTCAAACCTGGACGAGCGTCAACATCAAAGTGACCACGAAGCGCGAAAATTTCTGTGGATTGCTGACACCGGATTGGATTTCAGATTTTGTCATCATGGATGGTTTGAACTTGCGGGTATGGTGGAGCTTGTTTGTGTAGGTTTCCTGTATATTGTCATTTGAAATTGTGTTTTATTGTGGTTATATCCAATGGTTACAGTACTGAACTTGATGAATCCTTTTTGAGTCATTGTATTGTATACAGTGTAATATGCAAAAACACTTCGGAAACTATTTTAAAAGGATAGTAGGTTAGTTTTCAATTGAATTAGATCCACCATCTAGTGAGGATGAACACCACCCCTAAAATCTCAATTGAAAAGGGGGGTGAGTGATACCTATTTCAAAGGTCGTTCAGTTAACTTTTCAAACATACTACAGCTGTCGGACTGAGTTATGGCCGATGTGAAGCCCCTGCCTCAAGATGTGCAGTAGATGTGTAGAAATCTGTATGTTAAATTATTCGAGCCTTGAACATTAAAATTCAGGACCGCATTCAGTTAGTGATGGAGTTTAAAAGTAAATTGCATAAACATATGTTGTACACCGACCCAAACTTTACGCAGATACGATTTCTCCCACTGGCCATGACTCAGTC